CTCTCTCTCTCTCTCTCTCTCTCTCTCTCTCTCTCTCTCTCTCTCTCTCTCTCTCTCTCTCTCTCTCTCTCTCTGTGTCTCTCTCTCTCTCTCCTCAGTCTCATCGTGGCCTTGCACGGAAGAACCCATCAGCAACCACTGCAGCACCTTTTTTTTTTTTTTTTTTTTTTTTCCGAGAAAGAGAAACTCGTGCTATGCTTAACAGCTCACTAACCCTTTGGAGCATAACAACAGGGCCTCACGTACAGGAACGTGACTCACGCGCCAACTGAAGGGCATAACAAGAGCATCTGATGGACAAAGAAACAAAAAAAGAAACACCCAAGTACGAAAATGAGCTCCAAAAAGCAAAAAAGACGCGTACAGGAAAGTCACTCGCGTGCCAAGTTTGACAAGGCCATAGAACCTACAGGGCCCACGGTGGTGTGCAGAGGGCCTATTAAGTTAAAAAAAACGGCAAAAAGATTTAAAACAATTACCGCTATTTTTTCATTTTTTGTTCATTTCCCACATCCGCTGCCACCTCTGGAACAAAACTGCATTTACTATTTAGTATTTAGTGTTTTGTTTTGCCTAATATGTGAAGCTCAAACCTTGACGGTCACTGAGACATAGTTGTTGTCTCAGGGGAAAAAATCATCGGGTTGCGCCGCTTGCGCGCCCATCTTTTACTTTTTTTTTTCACATCCTGTAAGGAGGGGATGTGAAATTGACGGTAACTAAGAAGAAGAAGAAGAAGAAGAAGAAGAAGAAGAAGAAGAAGAAGAAGAAGAAGAAATTGAAATTGAAGGTAGCGAGGCCAATCGCCACTCGTCCACGTTCATTCAAACGGAGCTTTCATAACCACGCGGACATATCTGCTGCTCAAACGCGCACGATCCTCGACGCGTTTCGGCTGGTTGCGCACCAGCACTTATCAAGAGGCTTTCCACACTCCCGCATCCACCCGTACTTTCCGCCCAGAGCAAAGAGGGCCGTTCTGGCCTTGCCCTCTACACATATACTGACACATTACCCACGCACGCTGCTGCACGGGACGTGCGACTGCAACCGCCTGGCCGACGTGCTAGGCTCTTGCTGTAACAGAACGAGTATGCCCAGATGCGAAAAACATGCAGCCCCCCGACATGCCTGACGCGTGCACCCACACGTGCAGGGTCTACCTTTTCCCACGTGCACTGGCTGCACGGGGGTCGAAGTCCTTCAAATGCGAAGTAGGCGCAGCTGGGGCCGTACTGCTAGCAAACCACTCATTCCGTATTTCTGTTCTGTCGCGCGCCCTACACGCCACGTTTCATACCCGGTCGGGACCGACCCTACGGGTCCCGGCGACACCTCCGGACCTGTAACCACCTGGGACTCAGCCTATTACGGACGCAGTAATATACAGCCCGGTATCTCCGGATACTGGGACCATTTTCCTAGCCCGCCCCTCCCCTTACTACTCCACCGGGAGCTAACTCCCCCCACTAGATTGCCCATTCTCCGCTACTATACTGCAAACCCCTAGATTATAGAGGTTTCATCTTCCCTAGTGTACAGCCCAGTACTGTGCGGTACCGGGGTTCTCATCAGTCCCTGGAACTTCTAATGTACAACGCAGTACCGCGCGGTACCGGGATCTAACACTACCTTGAACTTATATACAGTCTGACCGCCTGCTCATACCGACTGTACCTTATCTCTGCTACCCTATCTAACCACACTCTGTTCCTAACGTGGCTGCTCGCCCAGCCGAATGCAGGTGCTGTTGCTTTCTCTGGGCAAATCCAACCATTCCTTCGGTGAGCATCTGCCATGCTTCACCGAAAGGCCTGGTTACCCTGGCAAGAAGAAGAAGAGAAGAAGAAGAAGAAGAAGAGGAGGAGGAGGAGGAGGAGGAGAAGAAGAAGACAGAAATTGTGCAAGGAAGGAAGGAACAGAATTTAAAAAAAAAAAAAAAAAAAAAAAAAAG